TCTCTCTCTCTCTCTCGCCCTGTCTTTCTCTCACGCTCTGTCTGCTTAGATTTCAGTTTTCATTCCAGTTGACACGCCCCGGCTTTTGTTATGTTTATTGTTTTAAAATTATATGTCAGAAACTAAAAAGAAATAAAAAAGAATAAGGAAAATAAAAAAAAAAAACCAAAAGCTGGCCATAAATTATAAAGAACAGATGCGCAGTTCTCGTTTTGTAGCTAACTTTTGTTGCTGTTGCTATTGTTGTTGTTGTTGTTGTATTTGGTATTTTGTATTTTGTATTTTGTATTTTGTATTTTGGGCATTAGCATTTCGCCTGTTTGCTGTCTTCTGACGTCTCATTTCGTATGGAAATGTTCCATTAAACTAGCTCGACTTCGAACTAGTCGCTTTAAATGGCGCCGACTGCGTGGTTGTGCCCCAGAGCAGCTGCCCAAAAAGCTGTCAAGGTAGCGGCGCAACTGTCTTCATCTTCTGCTCGGTTTCTATTCCTTTTTGGCCCAATTAGACTTTGGCACGCTAATTAAACGATTATTATTCAATTACTACAGGAGCGGGCTGCTGTTGAGAACGGAGGAGCAACTGGAGATGGGTTTATCTATTGTATGTGTGTGTGTGTGTGTGTGTGTGTGGACACGCCGGCTTCTCGTTTCATTTAATGCCAACAAGAGTTTTGTTGCCCCCTAAGTGTGATTTATGTGCAACGCCCACGCAACGAATCATAATCGAGATGAGACAAAGAGACTTCGGCTTGGCGCTCGCTCGCATGGAGGTCAAATTCAACTATTCTAATTGACATAGAAAACGATCTAACGATTCTCATGATCGTCACTCCCCCCCTCCCTTATTGTTGTGGCTCTCCCAAATTGTTGTTGCCCCTGGCTCGTTGCCAATCAATTTACGTCAGGCGCTTGATTGGTCAACCTCTTAGCCCCACATATAGCTGCCCTATGGGTGTGTGTGTGTGTGTGTGTGTGTGTGTGTGTGTGTGGCACCCCGAGCATTTCCCTGACCACCCCTTGATTAATGAAATTAGACAATCAACGAGAGCCAAATCGAAAAAGCAATAGTTGAGCGAAAAAATTAAAATCACTTAATTAAATAATTTTTAATGTGCTTCGTTTAATTGCTGTTTATTGTTGTTGTTATTTACTATTATTATTTTTTTTTTTTTTTCTTCTCCTTGGTTTGAGCTTTTTACGGCTGCAGCTTGTGGAGCAGCTGTCGTTTGTTAATTGCAAAGAATGGCCCGTTAAGAGCTCGTTTGTTTCATCTTCATTCAAATTGGCAGCTAGTTCAGCTATTTCAATGCGTTCGGGAGCTGTGGACTGATCAGAGCTGGCATGGCTCAGATGAAGGTCAATTGATATGCGCTAATTGTTCAGTCAATCTACATGTCGAACAGCTGATCAGAGTCACTAATTTGTATGTATTTCTAACTATAAATCAAGAGGGGGGAGAGTTGGGTGAGAATGGGAGTTCATTCATATTTATATAATAGAAAGAGTGAGAAAGAGTCAGAGAGAGAGAGAGAGAGAGAGAGAGAATGAGTGATCAGAGTGAAGTTGGTAGAGAGTTTGATAGGCAGATTGAGAAATATATATACATAATATATACTAATATATAATACTAACATTAAGCTAATGATCAGCTAATAAGCTCATAAGCACAATGGATCACATTTGCAGAGTGGCAAGATAAACAAAGAGAAAGACAGCGAGCGGTAGAATGAGTGATAGAGCGATAGGCACACAGATGAAGACATACAGATATCACTAAAATGTAATAATCGTATAAAGTTAATGATCTACTAATTAGCTCAAATACAACATGGAGCGGTAAGAGACGCAAAGAGTGGAGGATGAAAGAGAGATAAATAAAATGGAAATTCAAATCAGATCAAATTTGCAAGCATAATTGATCACTAATCAAGGAATTGTGGATAGGCAAGGGCAAAGCATAGAGAATTATCTCTGGTTTGATGATCGTGACGAACAAGAAACAAACACAAAAACAGTTCAAGCTAATGCAGATCAGAGAGGCAGCAAGCTCCCATACTAATTGAAGACTGATCGCCGATCTAAACAGAACTGTCTTTGAATTTAAATATGAATTACAAATCTGTGTGTGTTCTAGGCTCTGCTACTCAATTAACATAGCTCGACTGATCAGCAAATTGATCACGCCGATCGGCTAGCTGATATCTAGTGACAAGAGTGTTGCCAGCTTTCAGCTCTCCCATTGATTAATCGCATTGAATGCGTTGGACTGGCGCTATTGCCCTATCACTTTGCAAATATCGATTGGGCCCTGTCATCGATCGCATAGATCAGCATGTTTGTTCATGTAACGTGCCAAGGCTGTTTCTGAATGTACAAATTACAATTTACTATCTAATGTCAATGGGTTAGCAAACAAATAAACAAATGAGCAGACAAAAGAAACGTACAAACAAACAGACAGAGAGAGAGAGAGAGAGAGAGAGGGAGAGGGACAGACAGCACTTGTGATGCCAGTATTATAAATCTTATGACTGCTAATGAGAGTCGTAAAACACAGTCACATTCATTCTAGACACAAATTCATGTCCCTCTCTCGCTCTATCTCCCTTCCTCTCCCTCTATCTCTCTCTTATTAGCAGCACGTTTCAATGTACAACATTTTTTATTTTTAATTTAGTTTTTATTTTTATATTTTATATCCATGAGCTTCATTTGATGATGATGACCTGCGAAGCACTTTGCATTTCATTAAGGCTTAATTCAATTCAAGCGCTCAACAATTAAACAATCGTCTGTTCGCGTTTTTTTTTTTTCTAATTTTTTTATTTTTGTAATTTTTCATTTTCATTGCGTTTTTTTTTTTTTTAATTGAATTTTCTTAATTTGAATTTTGCTTGTTCGTTTTTAGAATCTCACTCAAATCGAGTCGCAATCACATTCAATTCAATTCAATCTTACACAAACTTCGCAATCTGCATTTCGTTTCAATTTCAATAGTTACTCGACTTACCTTGATCTTATGCCTCTTGGCCATTTTCAACGTTAACTGAGTTTCAACCATATTGAATTCAATTAGATTTAGAGTTAATAGTTACCATTTCAATATTTTGTTTGCTTTTCAATTTTAATTTCAACTTCTATATTAAATTCCATTTCAAGTGCAATTTCAATTTGAGCTTCAATGTCAATTTCGTTTTCAATTTGTTGCCCAATTCCACTTTCATTTATTTTAAATTGAATTTAACTATTTTTCCTTTTCAATTTGAATTCGAATTTCTGTTGTAACTTTTCAACTATTTTCAATTTCCACTCAATTTCCATTTATATTTAATTTCAATATGTTAACTATTTTGACTTTTCAATTTGAATTCGAATTTCCATTGTAACTTCTATTCAACTTCCATTTCAATTCAACTCCAATTCAATTTCAATTTTTAAATTTGTGTGGTTAATTCTTTTTCAATTTTAATCTCAATCAAACTTCAACTGAATGCCCCAGCTCTGCCCCGCCCACCCTCAGCCTCGCTCACTCACGCTCTTGAACTTCCTTTTTAGCAACTCTCTTAATTATAGCTAATTGGGATTTTTTTGTTTTTGCTTTTAATTTTGGATTTTCTTTTGGCCATTTCTCAAAATATGTGAAAATTCGCACAAAATAAGCAAACCAATGGTAATTACTGTATTTTGTTTGATGTATCATTTGGTATTTTTTTTGCTGTTGTTGTTGTTGTTGTTTCCTTATGCTGCTGCCTACTTAACGCTTAACGCTCAACGCTTAACTCTTAACGCCTTTTGGCATTTCAAACAAATGAATGTCATTAAAAGATCGCAAACAGCGTTGCAATGCGAGAGAGGTCTTAATCCTCAACAAATGTTGCAAATTGATCGGCCGGTCGAGGGGGCCATTGAAATGCCGAAATACACTGAAATACTGAGCACACACACTTACACACACACGCACACACATACACATATAAGTACATATATATTGATGCGTGCACGAAAAGCCAAATAAACAAAACGTCTTTCGTTTTTGGTCTTTGTCGTCGTCGTTTGCTTTCAAGATTTAAGCTAAATTAATGGACACAACCCACTTCCACTCTACACTCTACCTCTCTCTCTCTCTCTCTCTCACACGCACACACAGTCTCGTGCTCTCTTACTCCCCCGCCAGGCCTCACCCTGCCAGCTGCTAGTGTTTGCCTAAAAAATTGGCGCTACCTACGCGCGTTTGTTTTTAGCGTCTTTTTGGCTTTTTTTTTTTCGCTTTCTGTATTATTTTGTATATTTTTCACGTCTTGTCTTCTGCACATTTTTATGTTGTTTTCTTATGTATACCACGCGTAATTGGCTGGACAGGGGTATGCCCCATATGTTGTTTGAGCATGTAACAAGCGGCAGTCTCATTAAACTCTATTGAGACAGAGTCAAAGGAACAGAGAAAGAGACTGAGACTCAGACTCAAAGAGTGGCAGCTAGTCATGAGTTAGGGTAGCTGCTAGTCGTGCATACCCTAGCAAGCTTTGCCGGCCGTCGTTTTCGGCTGTCTTCTGTTTTTTGGCGATGATTCATGCGTCGTTCGCCAATTTAAGCTAATAGACTGTCATGGAGGGTGGCGAGGGGCGATAGGCGGATGGGGTCTGTGGTTGGGGTTGCTGTTAGAGGGGGCTGTAGCAAAGAGGAGGGGGTGCTCGCTTAATCAATAATCATCAATCGTCTTTTACACACAGTAAATAATCGAAAATGCTTGAAGGGTGAAGGAGCTGCTGAAAGGGAAAGGGGGGGTGGGGGTGGTGCTGGGGGCAATGGCTCCTCGACTCCACATAATGGATGGTCATAAGCTGCAAATTATTGATACGCCATGCATAAACTAATGTACCCATACATACATATATATACATATACATATACATATATACATATGTATATCTACATATAACTCGCCTGTTGTTTATAGTGTTATTAACCATTTCCACCTGTTGCTTCGTCTCATTGCAGCCAAACGTTTTTACCTTGCGTGCATTTTACGGTAAGTCTCAATGCGAGCATCGGATCTGGGTAGCTGCAAAAGCTGAAACAGTCAAATGAGAATCCGCTTTAAGCCTGACAAAGCGCAGCTCATTTGATGGCCATCAATTATAATTAGCGAATGCGAGATTCGCATTTAATTCATTTGAATTTTTCATTCAATTCCCATGATTGAACACGGCTGAAGCTTACAAATGTTAGCTAGAGTGACAAAATGCTATGATGCTTAAGCCTACGTTGATATTTGCTAATGTCAAATTCAAGCAGAAACTGAGTGCTCAAAATGGCAATAATTATGCAATTTTAATTGAATGCTAAAACGAGTTTCAGTCAATTCAAAGACACAATATTCAATTTCAATTTCAATTCATAATCAATCTCTGACACTTAAAATGAAATCTTTAATGTACATGTAAAAAGTGAAAATGTTCAATTAAATTTATGTTAATTGAAACTAAAATTTGGAATGCTTGAACTCATTCAATCTGTTGAATTAAGATAGAAATTGAATATACAAATTTATATTTTTGTTGCAATTTCAAAAAAATTTTCAAGTAAATTTACGTTCAATCTCAACTCACATTCAATTTACATTCAATTTTTTATTTAATATTCATGCACATTGAAATTGAAACTCAAGTAATGAAGCTCATTATATTAGGCTCATTCAATCTGTTGAATTGAAAATCAAATCGGTTCAATATTGTAATTGAAACTCAAATATTGAAGGCTTAAACTGATGCAGTATTCAATCTGTTGATTGAAATTAAATTTTGTATTATTGATTATATACAATTTAAATATTCGTGGAATAAAATTGAAATAATATTGATTATATACAATTTCAATATTCATGCAATATTAATTGAATTGAAAAACGATTTGTATTCATTTTGAAAATGCAGTATTCAATTCAATTGCAACATCAATGTACAATCAATCTTCAATGCTTTCAATCACATCTTCAATTAGTTAATGCAATTGTAAAAAGTACGAAATGCTCAATTTAATTGAAGTTCAATTCAATTTGCAGTCGATTTTCTGTTCAATTTTCGTGCATTTTCTCTGTATATCGATATATATATATATGTATATGTATATTTAATATATGTATATCCACATCTACATATATGCAGAGGCATGTAAAAAGGCCAACAGTTCTGTTTACATGTCCGGCCATTGGCCGTTCGCTTGGGCAGCCCATTTTTAGCCACGTTCAGTGTAAACAAGTTGGCAAATGGCATTTTCGGGCCGAAATCTGTGAACCGCTCTGCGCCGTTTCGCTGTGGGCCGTTGCCAGCTAAACGCAGCTTCCTGGCCAAATGCGACGCAAAATCAATCAACGCCAACTGTTCATTTGCTGCACGCAATCAATGTGTGGCTGCTGCGTGCTGCGTGCGTGCGTCAGCGTTGCTGCCACAAGGTGTGGCAGGCAAAGGTGTGAGGTCCAGCAGACAATGCGGCGCCAGCTGTATGTCCTTGTGGCGACTCCTGCTGCTGCTGCTGCTGCTGCTGCATGTGGCATGTGGCATGTGGCATGCCCCAAATGGCGTCGAATCAATCAAAATGCGTACGCAAGCCAAGTCAGGCCAAGGCGCGCGCGCGATCGTTCGAGTTACGCGCAATTTAACCTGTCTGCCAATTCGCTGCTTTATATGCTGCCTCTCGCTCACTCACTGATGTGTCGTCTCTGTCTAGCGCCCGCTCAATTATCATAATTGCGCACACACACACACACACACACACAGACAGAGACAGACAAGCTGAAATGATAATGTCGGCGCCAGCATTTCCGCTTTTATGAGCGCGGCTACAGCTTTGCCGCCCCCTCGGCCCCGCTCAGAGCCTCGCCCAGTTCGGTGTGCGTGTGCGTGTGTATGTGTGTATGTCTGTGTGCGTGAGTGGGTGCCATCCGAAAGTCCATGTCCATGTCCATGTCCATGTTGTAGCTGCCTGACACGCACAATTAAGTGCCAGCTGCCATTCCTTGCCACTCTCTCTCCCTCTCCCTCTCTCTCTCTCCCACTCACTCCCTCTCTCTCTCTTTCTCAAGGATAACGATTAACGATAAACGCGCTGGCAGGTTTGCTTTGCTTTGCTTTTTCCCTCGATTTTCTTCCTCTCTCTCTCTCTCTCCTTCTCCCTCTCCTTCTCCTTCTCTCTCCCTCTCTCTCTCTCTCTCGCTCCTTCTCTGGCGATATCAAATCAAATAAAATGGAATTTACTACACTCACGCACGCTTCCATGTTCTATCTGGTCTGGGCCCAGCCCAAAACAGCTTTGCCCTCAGCTCGTTCGCTTTTCGCTGTTCGTTTCGACTATTCGACTATTTTTATATATATTTAACATTTTCATTTCCGTTTCGCCTTAATGCACTTGACCTTCAGCCAAAAAAAAAAAAAAAAAAAGAAAAAAGAATTGAAATAATAATAAAAATTGAAAAACAAATAAAATCTGAAAATCTGTGAGCTTCTGCGTTCGTGTTTGGGTTTATTCTCAAATATTCTGTTCCATAGCAGGCCAAGCGAAACAGCAACAGCGAAATCTATTCCGAGGCTTCCGGGCAATACACACAGCTAGTTCTATATATTTCCTAATGATCAATTAAATATGTTTGAAGGCAATGCAATTTCAGTTCTCATTTCATTTCAATTCAATTTTCAGTTTCAAATCATCAAACAACATTTAAAATACTCAAATTTGGCAGAGTTTCCATTTAACTTTGTTTCAATATGAATTCCATGTACATACGCTTCAAATAACTTTCAGAAACAGTTGATGAAAAACTGTTTATTTCCATTGAAACAACTTTCAGAAACAGTTGATGAAAAACTGTTTATTTCCATTGAAACAAAGTTGAAGCGATTCAGGGGATTTCAATCGGATTGAAGCTGAGTGTAAATCGCTTCAAATATATATCTTTCAGATAACTGAATTGCACTTAAAATTGCCATATATACAGCTCTGTTTCAATCCGCTGTCAATCAATTTCAATTCAATTTTAAATAAAAGTTGAATTACATTTAATTTTTGAACTAAACATAATTGCAAATCTTTTTTTTTCTTATGCAATTTTTGTATTTTGCTAAATTTGCATTCAATTTCGTTTCAATTGTTGTTCAACTTTGATTCGACGAGCAATGAAAATGTTCTAGAAAATCGCACTCGCATGACAAAAGGCCACGTTACATGCTCTCCGCGCTATTGTTGGCATAGCATTGTGAATTTTGCAGTGTAAATTCCATTAGGATTATATTACCAGGCACACACACATACGCATGCATATCCACTGTTGGCTGTTGTGAAGCCACAAAAGTTGCGCTGGCCCATAAACTAGAAGAAAATTTCTTTTATTATCCTTGGCAGAGAGTTGGAAGCGAGGACGAAACGTAAAACGTAAAAAGTTCAAATGGATTAGGGCCAAGCTTCAAGCGGAAGCCCGACAAGACGTTGACTACACACACACACATGCGCGCACACACACACACAGACACACACTCACTCACACTCTCGCACACATATGAATGTTGTGCGTGCCAAGCGAAATTGTTGGAATATGTGTCAAGGACAATCGAGTCGCCAAGTCGCTTCACATTTCGCAGGGCGAGTGTGTGTGTGTGTGTGTGTGTGTGTGTGTGTGTGTGTGTGGGTGTGTGTGTGGGGCTATCATATATTGTGTTTTTTGTAGGCGTGCCTAGCTGCAGTTAACACACAACTCGCACACCTTCTGGCACGACTCCTCCCACACCACGCCTCCCACACCACGCCCCCCTCGCCTCGCCCCGCCCACGCCGGCTCCTGCTCCAACGCCTCGATCCCGGCGACATTCGGGACACATTTGGAGCACAAACTAATTGATATTTTCACAGTCGTTTTTTCCCCATTTTTCTTCTCTTTGTTGCTTTTCTTTTTTGGCACGCCTTGTCGCATAAATTTTCAAATTTCACTGCCCGCCCCAGGGGACGCGCCGCACACGCCCAGTTCTCGACGCTGGACGCTTCAAATGGATTAAAAACATTTGCTGTTGTTGTTGACTTTTGGCAACTGCTAAATTTTAGTTAATTAAAGTTTTCGCTCTCTCTAAATATACATATGTATGTATATGTATATGTATATGTATATGTAATAAATTGTGGAAAACTTTTCCCATTGCCTTGAACTGAGCTAAGCCAAAATCAAATAATACGAATTTCCATTTTCCAAACATTTATGAATTGCTGCAGCCACAAAAATAGACCAAGCAAAGTATCTAGAGCGAATTGTACCAGCTGAGACAATGACGACCACCAGTTGCTGCCGCACAGAGTCGGAAATAGACTTTCGCCTCGGCAAGCAGCCACAAGATTTCAACTACTTGGAAAATTGCTTCTGATATTGAATGAGTTTTCCGCTAAGATGAATCTTAAACTACATTTCATGTTTCTTTCGATTTTTTGCTTAGCAATTCTCTAGAATGTTGGCGGGCAGCGCCAAGTCAGAGTGCTCGACTGGGAGATACCCAGGAAAGAACCAGACATGAATAGAATAGAGCTGTGGCTTCTTTGCTCTGACATGAAACGTTTCGGTTGCGTTTATAATCTGGTGTAATGGCTCCTTAGTGCGCCAAGTCTCTGAGGGCACACGCTGAATACGTTCATGCCCCCAGAGAGACTTCAAGCACTTGGAATTTATAAGAAAATGGCACAGAAACGCTCTGGGTTTTAGGGGCCTTAGAATCAAGCAAACCTATCGATAACTTATCGATGAAAGGCAAATGAAAGGAGTGAAGAGAGAAAGAGCGAAATGTGAACTACTTTAGGCCAGGGTATTTCACTCCAGTCTGTTCCACTCAGTTTCATCAACAGCAAGGCCTCTGCCACGCCTCCTGCTGCAGCTCCAGCTGCTGCTGTGTTACACAAATTGTCTTCAAAACTACATACCCTTAGCTATACCCTCCAATTGGTTTTAGGGTATACAAAGTATTTGGCTTCTGTGTTTACATAGCGCAAAAAAGTGTGGAGA